TTGTACTGCTAGCAAGCTGAGATAAATGCAGGTGCTGCCTATTGGCTAGCAGTGCAAGAAGTCTAATTGTTTTCAAGTAATTTAAAGATAATTTATTTGTACATATATTTCAAAGCCTATAATTTGACATAGTTATGCCTGAATCATTCAGATTGCATATCAGGGAGTCAAAGAGAATTCTTAAAGAATCAAAACTTACTTAAAAGAAATTTTTATTAAAGCATTTTGATGGCACTTACATTTTTCACTTGTAAGTAGAGCAAAAAAGGAAAATAAGTTCTTTATTAGAAATGTGAATATTTTTGATAATAAATGTCAGATGCCATTTCTGAATTTGTCATTGAGATGTTGCATTCTTGGGAAAGGAGATGCTCATTGCAGCAATTGGTGGATAATGGTATAAAAGGTATATTTTTTAAATGGAGAAAACCTGTTCACTATTTTGAAAGAACTCATAATCTATTTTAAACTGCCATTCAATGTTTCTGACTTGCAGTTAGATGGTATTTCCAAAATGTCAGTCCAAGATTTTCCTTCAACCATCACTCTAATAAAATCTGACAGCATGGATATTATAGCCAAACTTCCCTCCCCCCACCACTTAATTATCAAGAAAGATTTCAAACGGATTAATCAGGAAAGTTGTACAAAGGAGTATCAGTGAATGGCCATGAAAACAGCACTATGGCTTTGAAAAAGAATGTGTAATATAGGCAAGATGGATGACAATCAGAAGACAAATGTATGGACAAAGCTGTTTGGAGGGAATAGTTTTGTAGTGTATGATGTATGTTACGCAAATGAGCTTATTAGGACTCTCATCTATTTTATTATTGGTGCCCAATTTAATAGAGGCATTTAAAAAACAATATTTCTGCCTGACTCCTCAGAAGGAAGATACATTGATATAATTGAAAGCAAATGATTGCATGTTGTGCCATTTAATCATGTCATTTTTCCACGGCTGTTTCTCGCCATTCACTGCATGCTTATAGAATATTTAGCTTCAGTACAGATTTGGTCCCACTACCGGCAACTGAGCACGGTCCTTATTTTAGGTGGCATTTTCTTTTAACCTTGAAATTAGTTAAAGCACCCAGATTGGCCAAGGTTTCTTTAGAAAATGGCAAGTCATCATTCACTTCCAGCACATGACATTTGGCAGTTTTTTATTATTATTTTTGAAAGATTGCTTACTACTGGTTGTCCTTTTCAAGTCTCTAATGGGAACCCTTATCTTTGATCATTCATGAAGTACATCTAGCTAATTTTTAAGCCACAGGGCTCACTGCAGCTAGCAGAAAGCATTAGGAACATGACAAAAATCACATGGAAAATATGAAAATGATTCTATTAACAGTGAATTCTGTTGATGTCTGATCTAGAGATCTGATAAGCAGCTATACATTCTGTCCTTATTTAACACGATCTTTTTGCACCATCCAGACTCCTTATGAGTAGTTTCTATACATAGCATAGGGGCCAAACTAGCAATGGACAATGAAATTGTCTTAGGGCACAACGCTATGGACTCCCAACATTGGGCAAAGGATTATACAGAGTCCCAGCTCTAAGGTCATCCAATAGTGGAGTTCACACTCTGAATGTGGAGTCCCACCCTGCCTCTCTTGGCAGCCAGCACACAATCATGTTGGCTGCATCTCCAAAGTTGGAAATTGACCTTGGAGAGAGTTACAGGGATGGACACAGGGAGGCAGAGACTGGTGGCTTACCCTTTATCCAAATGGTGTCACTGTCCCCTTCTTCCTCTGTGGTTTTTCATTAAGGTGGCCAAAAAATGGCAATCTAGATGAAGTACAGGCATGGGATGCTGCAGTTTCACCTTGCTCCCTGAACTGGATGCATGTAAGCTTCCATGCTGAGACGCTTCTGTGGATTGAGAGCAAGCAGACAGCATAGGATTGTGCCTTTAGGCTGCGGTCTGAAGCACATTGAATTGGGAGACATATAATTCAGATATATATAGGATTGTGTTGCCATCCAGTTGATCAGTGTTGTGTGACATTTGACTTATGTGCAGCCGTGCTGTTTGTATCCAAAGCCATATTTGCATAGTTAAATAGCAACTTCAAACATCTCAGGCCAACATCTATATCTATAATCTTTTTGCATAAATATCATACAGATTCCTTCTCTTTTTATGTAAAATGTTTCTTGCACACCAGTTTTGATCCTTAATGATATCTCCTGCATGGCATACACCAACCTGTGATACTGCTTTGAGCCTGTTGTCTAATTTAGCATGTAAGACAGCTGCATTTCTATTGCCCCAGGACTGGCTGGTCTACGCAGTCATTAGCATTGCTTAAATGTTGTCTGGAGGTATAACTAACAACTAAACTAATCTGGGTGATCATATGTATATTTTGCATATTGCAAGCTAGCTTAGGACAATGTTTAGAAGAACAGCATAGTCACTTTTGGTTAGGAACTGGTCCTGTCACAAGAGTTTCATTGGAAGAAGCAGTATTTGATTTGCTGGCCTGTAAATTGATTTGGACAGGCCAGCCTTCTGAAGGGGGTTGTATACATTCATGTCCTGCATCAGCAAGGGGTTGGACCAGATGGCCTTCATGGCCCATCCATTTCTACTATTCTATGATTCCATGATTTCATAAATTGCAGTGAAGAAGTACGTAAGGAACTGCCTAGGCCTCTGTGTGAATATTACATGATACTAAGACATTTCATGAAAAGAAATGGGCACTTTCAAGGAATGTGTATATGGAACAATGCAGTAAAGCAAATAATAACAGAAATGCTGATTTTTTCATAGAAGTTTTGAAATTTGTCATTTGACATATTTAAAATTCAGAAATATTAAAGGGAAATATTTCCATCACTACAGAAATAATAGGGGATCTGGCTATTATAAGAGTTGGCCAGTTGAAACATTTCTAGAATACATTTTATTAACAAGCAGAATATCTGTATGATATGTCCACCTGCTGATGAACTATGCAGTATTACTTCACAAGGAAATATACTTAATCATTTAAAGAGATCTTTTAATGAAGCATTATTGGTATGAACGTTGTGAACACAAATACTTTTACACATTAAAACACCCATTCTAAATGAGATTGCATTGTCTTGTTTACCCTTGTTCATTAATAAGCAATCTGTTAACTGATAGAACATTCCAATTGTGCAAGAGGATGCTGATTAGTGAGTAATTCAGCTATATTATGGATATAGTCATAATTTTACTTGAAGACTTTCCATTTAACAATCACTTTCTCATTATCAAGGTTCATAAAAAGGAAGATAGATAGATAGAATAGATAGATAGATGGTGGATAATCACAACACAGTTTTGCTTTTAGAAAATCAACTTAACTCTGGCAAACAAACACTGGTAAAGAAAACATTCTAAGGGAAAAGATACTTTCACACGTAGAAAATTTCACAAATGCATTTTTAAATTATTTAGTTTTCCATTTTGGAAATAGCAATATCAATTAGGAAATTGCAACAATCAATGTTTTGAGACTCCTGTATCAATAAACAGCTCCGATATTTTCCCGAAACCTTTTCTTCCTATGTGTAATTTCCTACTCCTATCCTGCTGACACCAAATTTTTCCTAGAAGGAAACCTAAAATGCTTGGGTGATAGCTTAGATTTTTCTCATGGGTTTATGTACTTTCATCTGTAGCATCCTGCAGAGAGAAACAGATGCTGTCACGTTACACACTTTAAATTGCCTAGTAAGCTCCTGAATGTGAAAAAGGTCTTCTGTGCTATAATATGGTAGAAGATGCTAAATCTACAGCCACTCAAAGCAGGGGGCGGGGGGTGCATTGCTGCAGGATTCATAAGATTCACTTGTGGCATTTCCCCCTCGGTGTGTGTCTTCAGAAGGTACTTAATGCACTATAATGTAGACTGCAGATGTGCACTGGAACAAAAAGGAATGTAGGACAAACTAAACTAACATAACCCATATAATGGAGCTACAGAGTATGCAATAGTTCAGAAGTTTTGTTAGTTCATTCTAAAAACATGCACAAAGTCACAGAGGTGGGGAAATCATACTTTTATTAGTGCTTAGAAATATTCAGAATGTGCTTTTTTGTTTCAGTTTTTCTTGATCAAAGAAAATTTATGTGTACTTCATAAGTTGGTATCCTGCATTGTGAATCAGCATCAGCATCAGCATCATTGTCGTTGCCACTGCCATCATTATCATTCATTTCATATCTATACCACTCATAGCCAAAGCTATCAAGCATGGCTGTTAATAAAGTTAACCATGTGATATAACTGTATTTCTGCTGATCCTATGATCACATACTAGCCATATTTTGTATGTGTACATTCTGTGAAAGTTAAATAAGTTAAATAATCTTAACAGTATCTTCCTACGTGTGTTTACACAAAAGTAGGTCCCACTATATTTATGTACTCACCACCAAGACAGCAGTCTCAAGCAGAAGAGGTGAAGAGAGTCTGGGGTCTTTGACCCCTTCGTCCCATGTCCAAAATTAAAGTTCTCAACCAAGCACTTCCATTTAGCCACATGGAATTCTAGGAATGGTCTTCCTATGGAACTTCATAAGCCACTGCCTGAGGGACAAGCTGAAAAATTCAATGAGTTCTCCCTGGTTTCTCTCCTAACCATAGACAATGTGAACAATTATGTGGGTATCTCTCAACCTGGTTGGACTCTGGGGTAATTTCTGAGAGGCCAGGATAGGGTTGTCTGCATAAATACAAATAGCTTCAATAGTCTTCGAATTGGGGCTAAAGTGGTAGTTATGTCGCTTTTAGAAGAATTAAACAAACAGAAAAGGAGACAGCTCACAGCTGAAACTGAGTCAGAAACATATTCTGTTGGCTCCCCATGGACCTACATTCCAGTTTGACTTGCATATTGTTGACTATTGTTCATTAAAACCCCACTTCATTCTACATTGGCCACTGAATTTTTATACCTTAGTAGAATAAAGTGCATTCTGATCATTCTTCTATCCACAGTCCCTCTGCTGTGAAATTAAACAAAGAAGAAGAGGCATAGGCTCAGTGTTACGTTTATGCCAGCACCTCCTTGACAATCAAGATACCTGTAATCTAAATGCAGATCATCAATCAATGCAGCTGATAATTGTAAATCTTGAAAGAAGGTGGGAAGCTATCGTCATGCAAGCTGTCCAGTGGCAAACTAGGTTGCAGAAGAAGTTGGCAAAGCATCCAGTAAGTTGCATTTTTTCCTTGCCCACCTTCCACACAGGGTTTATTTTTCCAATGTCTTTTCAGTTTATATATACATTAAAACATCCAGAAAATTGTAATCCTGAAATCTTCTTCCAAAACTTATAACTCCCCTGTGTCAAGGGAATCAACTGATTAATTAGATACACAGAAATAACACAAACTCTTTGTGTTTTTACCACATACATTTTGATCCATTTAAGACATTGGATGAATTTTTCAGAATTAAGTGATATATGAGGATAGTCAACTCTGTTGGGGATGAGACCAAAACTTTTCTCATATACTATAGTAAGATGTGATACAGTCAATTATCTGGATCTCTGTGATCAAATCCTGTCTTTATTCTGAATATTCAGTACATCCACCGCTAGTATATATGTATGCTTTATGCTACCCCACTCAACCAGTGCATCACCAGCCACAATTTGCACTACTACCCAACCACAACTGCCACCATCTCTAGTAGAATAACCTTGGTACTAAATGGTTTCTTCAGGTTTAAAATAATAAAACCATTATTGTGCTACATCTAATCTACTTCAGCCCTGCCCAAAACAGCCTATCCAATATTAAAAGCATCCTTGGCATATTCTAGCCCAATCTTTTCTTGAAAACCTATGAAATTCTGCTATTGGGCAGTTACTGCTTAGTTGTTTGATTTGATCTATGTCTTGCTTTATTTCCAGAGTCCCTAAATAACTCATTTTTAAATAAAATACTAAGAATCTGCACTAAATTTTGAAGTGCAAGAGCTTGTCATGACAGCACTGATGGCAACGCCCTGAAGGAGAACCCATAAGCATACCATCAAGGAGTGCCAAAAACTGTGTTGATTCCTGAAAGCAGCCCTACCTGACACAATTCCTGAGTTATTGAACTTAGCTGATAGTTACAGAATAATGAGCTGGCAAATGGTGGATGGGTGGTGAATATGTTGAACTTTGGCTGAGAAGTTCACATCGCTGATCAGCCATGGACTTCACTGGATGGCCTTGGGCTAATCACTGTCCAAGCTGAGTACACTCCCCAGAGCAATTATGAGTATCACATGAGGCATGGGAAATCCATACCATGAATGCCATACTCAGTTCATTGGAGGAAAAGTGAGATACAAATGTGAACAGCATTGACATTGTGTGTGTGTATACACACGTGTGGTTTTTTTTGTTCGTTTGTTTGTTTTTGGTTTTTGGCATGGCTTACTGTTTTCCATGCTGGTGAGGCTCATTTTGAATTATTTATAAAGGTTGCATGTCAAGTTTGTTACTTTCTGACATACAAGAACAGACAACTTGGCATCCTTTAAAATGGTGCAAAAGAAGCTCCAATGGGGCAAATGAATATGAAGAGGTTGTCCCATACTCTAGTTCCCAAACCTATAAAAATGGCAATTACTGTGAAAAGGAATATGCTGTTGTCTTTGTCTGCCTAAATCCCATTCCTGATTCTCTCCTACATGCAGTTGGTCTCACATTGTAGTGAAGGAGGAGACAGAAAACCCTGCTGATTGGAAAGCAGACATGTGATGGCAAGCATTTGTTTTATGGCACTTAAACTATCAGCAGTGGCATTGTTTTCGTTGTGTTGCATTATGTTCCTGCTTCAGTTTCACCTTCTGGAACTGTCTGTCCTCTTTTGCCTGATGTGGGAAAACCCTGCAGACTGCTGAACACACGTGTAAGCTGTCGCCGCAACTAGTGTTACTCTCTGCTTTCCCAGGCAAACTGCTGCTGTGTGTAGCTGCAGTTCTTCTAAACAAGCCACTATGTCCTAATTAAAGACAAGTGTTGCTCTTGCAGCTGGAGTGAAGTTGTCTTGTGGCTCTGTTTGGATAGGCATTGACTGGTCAATGAAGTAGGGGAGGATGCACGCTCTGTGTGTTTTCTTGATGTCCGGGAGCTGGAGAACTTCACAAGCTCCACACTGCTTTGTTCTCACTTTGCCTGGGGTAACCTAGACTCATTTGCTGGACTGACTTTCCTTTTACCTGGTAGGGGATACAACTTTCCTTCCACCAAGCAATGGCAGCCATTAAGAACTCTCAGTATAGACTTTATTTTGGTTTTGGGAGCCGCTTGCTACAAATGAAAATGTGGGTATCTGTATTGTCAGAATTCTCTGGTGATAAATCAGAATGCTGTAGCTCAAATTGGAATTTACTCAAAATCTCTCTCTCTCTCTCTCCCCCTCTCTTTCTCTCTCATATTTTCTCTCTCTCTCCCTCCATCTCCCCCTCCCCCCATGCCTCCCAATTCCAAGCTGGCATGCTACAGCATTTCCTTTCATTCAGTTCCTGTGTAGTCATTTCTTGGGCTGATCCCAAGATTGCTTTCTCTGCTTTGCCTATCTTTCTGCACTTGATGGTGTGCCAGTCTTGGCACATGAATGGTATCCCTGGGAAACCAGTTTGTTGGGTTTTTGTGCGTGTGTGTGTGGGGGGGGGGGTTAAATTTGAGGTTGCCCACAGTATACTGTAAGATATGAAAACAAATGGGAAGTGTTTACATCTCTGATGGCATCTGACTTGTTATTGGCAAGAGTCATTAACAGTGGAAATGCTGGCCTGGCTGATTAGATCATGTCTTAGAGAAGTTCAGGGGCTGCTGCCATCTTCTATTCTCTCTTTTAATGCATCGACCAACATTTTCCTTTCTCCATCTTTCTTTTTATCCCATTATTATTCATCAAGGATTATGCTGAAATTACTTGTAAAGAGCTTCAAGCTTTTCTTGTTTCCAGTAGCTTTTAAAGAGATATTTGAACTGGATTATTTTGTATGACTTTCCCAATGAAATCCCATACAGGTCTATGCAGAAGTTGTTCTCAGCCGCACTTACTGCTTAGTGAGTATGGGAAGGATAGTTCATCACATACTCTTTGCTTAAAATAGCAGCTTTATTGTGCAAAGTAGGAGAGCTGAACATTCTGCAAACTTGAATATCTACTGAAGAGCCCCTCTCAGGATGCAGACATTAGGGCTGTTCATCCTGTGTGAGGTTGAGGTGGGATGTTCTCCAGGAAAAGTTTTTGGAGGATCATTTCCTGGCCAAATATGCCAAAATGGCAGTTGATGTAAGATTTCCAGCACGGCCAGTCCTGAACTTCCCTCCATTGTCCAGTCACGTGTTTAATTACATACTGTTGTATTTTGTTATTTCACTGAATCAAGTGAAAAGGATATGTGGATTATTGAAATTAGCAGTCTGTAAGGTGGGCTGTCACACTATCACAAGTGTCAGGGGTACACAAAGCTAAAAAGATTAGGATGTCACTTCCTGGTCAAGGTTGTCACTATTTTGTCAATAGTGAACAAAAACGTTCAAAGCAAATCTCATTCACATCCACACTCATAGTTGCCACTTGTTTGTAATACAAATACAGATTTTCTCAAGGATTGGTCTAACAGTACTTACTTGGATGAATTCAGTTGTTGCAGATGTTGGCAAAAGACTTGAAGAGGTGCAACCTACTGAGTTTATCTTCAGCCCTTCTCCAAGACCATTCTTGATACGCTCATTGTGGCACAGCTTGGAACCCTACACTCGGCAGAAAGCCTTTCCCAACCACCACCTACCCAGACGCTGTGATCAAGATCAGGGTCTGCCTCTGACTGCCCCTTGGTTGGTGGCAACAATCAGGAAGGCAATATCAGTGTCAGCCCTCCAATTATGGAACAGGCTCCCCACTAAGGCCTACCTGGCACCCTCTGCTGTCTCTTCAGTGCCAGGTTAGGACTGTCCTCTATGATATGGGATTTAATTAGCTTTAATAGTATATTAGAGCATTAGGTATAAATAGATGTTATACGAGAATAAGTGGTAGACTCTGAAAGAAAGATGAGAAAGACCTAAGCCCAGATCCCTGTTCTTATACTATTCTCCTTGTCGGGTTCCCTGAAATCTTGCTTTGATGAAGGTCTGTAAAAGCCACTCATATTAGTGCAATTACCACTGCTACAGGAGCTCAGACAAAGTCTTCCAAAAGAGGGAATATATTCTTTTCAATTCATTACCTGTGATTTTGCTGCCCTAGCCTTGGAATCCGTCATGTGCAGAAAGCTACTTTTCTTTTCTTTTTTCCTTTTTACCTTGCACAGTTCAGAAATCATTCATTCCACTGGTAGAGGAATAGACATTCTATGACAATATCATGCAACTTTGGGGTGCCCCACTGGAATATATTTGTGGTTCTCTGTCGTATTCCTGACTTAGTTTTTTTAATGCAATTTTGAAAGGTGCTTCCTTTCCATCATGCAAATTTTTCTCTGCTGCTGAACGCATCTGTAAGTACAGTGCACTATGTGTCCAGCACAATTCCCATGTGCATTGGCTTTGAAAGTATGCTGTACATCTAGCCACATAATTGAAAATAATAAGGCCACAATAAATGGGATGGCCTTAGGGTATAACACCCAAGGGATTCAATTGGTGTCGCTCTGCATCAATGTCCATGCATCATGGTAATTGAGGTAACATAACCAATTACCACATTTTAATTAGAGTTGTAAGAACTTGGAAAAATCTGCAGTGGTGAGACAGCTTACTTAAAAAAAAAAAAAATCACCACCAAGCGTTCTCTTTCCAGAAGCCTTTTTCTTTGGATGCTTATTCTTAGGAGTCAAAGAAAGTACCATTTGAGAAAAGGTTGGGAAAAAATCCCAGATTCTTTATAATGAATGAAAGCAAACCTGGAAAACAAAAAATGTGCTAAAATGCTGCATTGCCACTAAGCTGATATCCTCATCCACTTCTTCTTTTGTGCTTCTCTGACACTTTAGGAAAAGGAAAAAGTTGGTTCTAAATTGAGTGTCCCTGTTCTTTGCCTTTCCCATTGGTGCACTGCTTTAAGAAAACTCAGTGGAATGATGCTCATTACACATTTTGAAAAATTACTCATTGAAGAGACAAATACACTAGGTATCACTTTGTCATTTTGGTACATGTCATCCCTCAGTACTAACAGCACTTGCATCTCAAACA